TATACATATATATATATATATATATATGAATATATATATATATATATATATATATGTATATATATTCATATATATATATATATGAATATATATATATGTATATATTCATATATATGTATATATATATATATTCATATATATATACCTATTCATATATATATATATTCATATATATATATATATATATACATATATATGTGGAAGATTAGGAATCTTCCATGAGCGTTAGAAAAGAAAGGAAAATCACGAGTGCAGGGCACAAGTGGAAAAAACCGTGATGACGGGACGATCACGTGATGATGAGGTATGTGAGGGAGCGACCGGCAGGCTGACCCCGGGTCGTTTTCCCTATTCGTCTGGGAGACGCCGTGCAAGAGAGATCTGGGAGAAACCATGGCCAGTGTGTCGTTATTGGTTATTTTGGTAAGCAGGGCTTGTCATTTATTTCTGTCAAGTTTTTAAAGAACATTCCAGTTGTATATAAATTTAATGTATGTCAATAGAATATAGAATTAATGTAATTTAACTGTAAAACTAAAAATAGTAAAACAAAGGAAACTTTAACTTTCGTTTACTGAATCCCTTCATTACAGGAATTATGATTTTAATATTATTGAAATAATTAATTCACTTGGAGGAGATCTATTTTTCCCTGTTTTTTAATAAAACAGCGGTGGTGGCGGCAAATATAATTTAATAGAAATCTAATAACATTTCCAGTTATCAAGATTTCGATAGTGGCGGCAGCGGTGATTTCCATGTCTTGCCCTCTGTCATATCCTACCATTGTAATACGTAATTGGGAATTACTGTGTAATTTTGACTCACGGGGTGGGTTTTGTACAAATTAAAAAAAAACAAAAAAACTCGGAGGATAGGCTTAATCTTCCCTTGTAGTTTCAGGTGGCGCCGGGCGTAGCAGCTTTTAGTTCTTTGTTTTTTTGAAGTGATTACTGTGCACTTTATCCCATATTTTTCTGTGTTTTAACATTAGTAGTAATACTTATAAGTTTACTAGTAATAGTTTTAAGTTGCCTACTCTTACAGAGTACGTAATGATTAACCATAATTATACATAATGTATATATATATGACTATATTGACATTTAAGCTAAGAGATATATATAAATTTTTATTATATTCTTATAGCTTTGATTGATAGATATATGTTAACTTGATATATTCCTTTACAGAGCTAGCAAAACTCCTTAAGGCATATCAATAGTATGTTTAATTTTTTGTGTGTACTTGATTCACTTGTTTCCCTGTACTAAGTAGAGTTTTTCCCTGTAGTATATTTATGAAGATACGATTCATTTGTACGTTTGGGTTTGCAACATGCTCTAATGGGTTGTTTTAACAAGTAAGTACTTGCATTTTGTCTCATTCATATAAGTGAAGTGAAGTGAGAAGTGGTGAAGCTTGTTGTTGGTGTGAGAGGGTAGGAGAGCGGGGCGGCAGAGGCGAGAGGTGCTAGGTCAGCATAGTTCAGCACTACGTAGACATAACTACCCTTGTTTTCTCTCGTCGTTCGCCTTCGTGTGGTGACGTCTCATTTTAACGTCATAACCCCCACTCCTGACGTCACGGGCCTCCCCTCATGTGAGTCGCGTTAGGCTGATGCCGGCTGCGGAAATTTTTCCGGGGGAAATTGTCACGCGCCGACCTTGCCTGTCTGCGGTTTTGTGAGCGAGGGTTCTCATTTGTTTCTTTGTTTTCGCTGGGCGATGTATATTATGATTAGACCGGAAATGTTAACGAGACAGGCCGAGGTGAGAAAGATACCGGTGGATAAAACAGATGAAAGGACAGACATTAATTTAAAGAGGAATGTGACAACGTATGATACTATAACATGTGTCAAAGGCGTGGCCACGGAACTGGTAATTGCAGATTGTTGTCCGATCGCATAACAAGCTCCAGTCCTTATATGGGAAGGGGTCGTGGCAGACCTACTATGATATGTGGATATTGTCAGAAGATAGGTCATACCATGGGCAAGTTTTTCCTTTTTGATCAAAAGTTAAGAGGAGTGTCAGGGATACGCCAAAAGATTGAAACAGAGACAAAATATTTTAATTGTGGGAGAGTTGGCCATTTTGCGAGAAATTGTCCTGAGCCTTGGAGGCCAAAAAAGTACTTCATAAAACTAGAGATACAAGGGGGGTTTCAGTCCTTCCTAAAAATGCTCCTGCTCCTAGTCAAGATAGTAGATGTTGTTAAGATTTTATCCCTGGGGGATAGTGAAGGGATGTTGTTATTTGATGTTTATCTTGGGGAGAAGTGTATTACAGCACTAATCAACACAGGAGCAGAAGTTTCTTTAGTACATAGTGATGTGCTGAAAGAGTTAAGTATGCCCTATAAGCAGGTTCATTGGGGGGATGGGTCCTTCCTAAACCACAGAGGGGAGATACATCTTACTTTTAAGGTAGGTAAGATAAAGACTTCATTTGTGTTCTTGGTGGTGGATACCTGGAGTTTACCATGCCAGATGCTGATAGGAAACGATTTTGCGGACACCTATAGGGTTGTATATACATCATGCCCCACTACCTTGTCCATTGATGGTCAGGATGTGAAGGTTGAGCGTAGTAATAAAAGTTCTGTCGCTTCCATGGCAACCGTAGGTCTGAAGGGACGCTGGAGGACCAAGACGGGGAAAACTACAGGGGCCCCTGTGAAGTTTTCCCGCCTGGGAGAGGTGGATTTAAATTATGCTACGGATGTGTGCTCTATAATAACGGGGTTATTAATGAAAGAATTACTTTAGGTAATAGCGAGGCTATAAATGAGGTTGCTATCGACAATAACGAGGTTATTAATGAGATAATTACTTTAGGTAATAGCGAGGCTATAAATGAGGTTGCTATCGACAATAACGAGGTTATTAATGAGAGAATTACTTTAGGTAATAGCGAGGCTATAAATGAGGTTGCTATAAACAATAACGAGGTTGTTAATGAGAGAATTACTTTAGGTAATAGCGAGGCTATAAATGATGTTGCTATAAACAATAACGAGGTTGTTAATGAGAGAATTACTTTAGGTAATAGCGGGGCTATAAATGAGGTTGCTATCGACAATAACGAGGTTATTAATGAGAGAATTACTTTAGGTAATAGCTGGGCTATAAATGAGGTTGCTATAAACAATAACGAGGTTATTAATGAGAGAATTACTTTAGGTAATAGCGAGGCTATAAATGATGTTGCTATCGACAATAACGAGGTTATTAATGAGAGAATTACTTTAGGTAATAGCGGGGCTATAAATGAGGTTGCTATAAACAATAACGGGGTTATGAATGAGAAGATTACATTAAATAATGGCGGGGCTATTGATGAGATGACAAGAGATAGTGGCGGGGCTACTGATGCTCATGTTTTTCCAGTAGAGGATCTAATTGCAGATGCAGATTCGTGTGGATCTTTTTGTGTTTTAGTCAGGGACATTAGTATGAATGGGTCAAATATGTTATTTATTCCTCGAAAGGATTTAGAGATAAGCTTAATAGAAGGCATAGTCACT